TCCATGACTACATGGCTGTGCGTATCTGTGGCGAGATGCTGAAGGACCCCACAGCCCCCGAGGTGCGCCTCTATGCAAAGACTCTGAGCAACCTGGAGCTCAGCAGAGACGAGACTGTCAGGGAAGACCTGCAGACGCTGCTGCAGCAGCTTGTACAAGTGAGCCTACTGCTATCGCACCACTGTAACGTAGTCCACGTGATATTGGCAACAAGTTCACCATATCAACAAAAAACGAAATGAAGGCCTGGAAGAAACAAAAAGTGGAAGGAGACTGAGGGAGCCACACAATGGGCTGGAGGACAACCCTTAACGAGGTTGTATAAATAAAAAGCTAAACTAAGGTACTGCCAAAAAACAGCAGACTGCTAAAACTTGACAAAGAAAAGGAAAAAGAACATAAAGGAGGGACCTATAGATGCTCAGGAGCTGCTTGGTCTGGGAGAGACCGCAAAAGCTTTCTCTGAGCTAACTTTAAACAGAGGTAGAAATTCGTTAGTTACTCCACCCAAAAAGAGAAGACGCAAACACGAGTGAGAACTAATCACAAATTATAGCTAAAGCTGTGAAAATTGCAATTAAAAAAGCTCTTTGGGTTTTTTGTTGTTGTTTTGTTTGTTTGTTTGTTTGTTTGTTTGTTTTCAACCAAAAAAACAAAATCAAAGTATTGAACATGTTCTGTTCATTTCAAGCTCCACATTTTATATCCTGGGACTGATTCACAGTTTAAAATAATCCTTATTTACCTTATACTAAGACTTTGTGCAGCTACTCGGTTTATCTGAAATAAGCTCTTTTAGCTCTTCTTCCTTTAAGCCAACTTCTGCTGATTTATTTTGTCCTTGCAAACAGAACGTTTATACAGCAAGTGGGTGGAGCTGTTGTGGTCACATTTAGAGTGCGACAGTGAGCACCACTGTCTCAAATGAAGATATTAAAGCAGTGTGATGCCTTTGACTTTGATTGTGAACATAGCATTAGCCACTGTAAGGGGACACATGAACGACATCATAGGTCCATGTTGTGTTTTTAAAAACAGCTGAAAATTTTCCAGAATTAACTACACCTCTCATTAGAATAAAGTGGAGAAAACAGCAGCAGGGGGGGAAGCATCTTAACATGCTTCCCCCCCTAGTGGTGAAAGTGTCACGTGTGTGAATGTCAAAAGACAGAAATCATCAAGATATATAGAAAAACCTTCACAGCAGTCCATCAAACCGAGCTCATGTAGTGTGGAGCACAGAGCTGTACCTGCATATCTGTCTGTTAAAAGGCCCATTGTTTAAGTTCACCCCTTTCCCTCCTCCTTTCCTTCAGGTGGTGAAGGATCGTGTCTGTCTCCGTGCTCTGGAGAAGATGATTTATCAGCTGGCGGACTCAAAAGAACAGGCTGAGCTCCTCAGCACCACTGCGTTACAACCCCTGGATGTCAATGCAGATGGTACGTATGCAAACACAGACTTTAAATAGGAATGGCCATCTGATATCCCATGGAGCATCTCCAACTTATGTTACCTCCTGAGTGTGTGTCTAAATAGATTTAAAATGCTAATTTGCGACAAGCGCTCCTGCAAAAGGATTACATGACTTTACCAGCATGTTGCTAAGTAGATTAAAAATGACTCGCTCCGTCCCATTCGGTGTTTGTTTAGATAAAAATGCAGCAGGCTGAGGGCGGAAATGCAGAAAAGTGAGTTCTCTGTTTGCTGTTTCCACAGAGGCTGCGGCAGATGATCCATCAAAATCTGCCAAGAGACCCAAAAGAGGTAATGCAGGGGTTTTTATATGCTCGTCTAAAACCGCAGTCCTTCAGTGCCACTATATTTTTAGAGCTCCTCCTCTCCTGCCCGAGGCAAGAAGTTGAGTCAGCACTGGGAGGTAACCTGAGTCTTTGTTTTCACAGGTCAGAGGAAAGCGTGCACAGCCAAAGGTGGCAGAAAGCCGAGCAGGAGGGCAGAGTCGTCAGAGGAGAGGCGAGTTTGCTGATTTTAGCAAAATAGAAAACAGACCCATTCAGTAACATATTCATCACAAGTGCATTTACTCATTTTCTCGTCTCACCGTCTCTCTTTGGCTACAGCGATGGAGAAAATGTCCCAGAGTCGGCCTCCATGGTGCGTCCGTCACGGAGGGCCAAGACTGCAGCTCTGGAGAAGACGAAGCTGGACCTCAACCCTCTTATCAACCAGGAGGCCAATGTGTCCTGAATAAAGAGATTTACCTTTCTGTATCGACTCAAGTGTTCAGGCAATGAGTCATATTTACCCTTAAGTTACATTTTTGTTGTTTAAAGTTTTGTCATTTTAATCATTAAATAAATGTATCAAAGTTAACAAAGCTTGTTCTCTTTTTTTAAAAATTTAGTGCAAACATATCCTGATAACTTTTAACAGGGAAAAAAGCAAATCACCATTTCACACAAGAAGCAAAGACAAAATGTTTCTTTTGTGTTCATGTTTTAATGCCCTGAATAACCATGTGACCTTTCTAGATTCCCTTACCAGTTCCCTCTCTACCAGTACATAATTAAACCATGTTAATCACCACGAATGTGAAGAATTCAGAGAGGTCTGATCTCAATCATTGAAATCTTACAGAATAAAAATGGAAATGGTATTTCAGTTTTGCTTGAAGTTACATACATTTTCTATAAATTCTTAAAGGGAGAGTAACAAGTCAGGTTTTTACGGTAAACAAATAATTATACTGTAAGTAAAGTGTAAGCAATTTTAAGTATTTCATGGTAATTTTATGGTATTAGAATAATGTTTTCCCAGCACGTTGTAAGTATGCTGTACTTTTGGACTGGATTAATCTTGCATTTTTATATATTTATTTACTTTTACATTTTAATTTAATATTCATATTCATGATGGGTGTTTTTTTTTTCCACCCCCCCTCCCCCCACTCTATAGTAATCATATAGTAGGGATTTAGAACAGTTTATTGTTAATGTATTTCTAAATTGTGTTTGAACTGTAAAAGGAAAAGTAATGAGTTGGACTTAATCACAACAAACTGATAGCCTTTATTGTGGGTCACGAGTGTCAAAATGAATTAAATACCAAATTAAATAATTGTGTTTTAAATGAAATTACATGTAATTATTTAAGTTTAAACAGTTTTAATTTAACAAATTTAATGATGTATTCAATCATGTTCTTAACTAAGAACATGTGTAATCTATTGAATAAATGCTTTGATGAAATGATAATTAATGTAATGGTAATGATGGTTATGAATAGTAGCAGTAAAATATTGCCCTGATCTCCACAACGGTGTTTACAGTGACTGCAAGGATAACCACACTACTGGTTGAAGAACTTATTTACTATGACCCTGGGGTCCGTTCTTCGTACCTCGCTAAGTAAGTTAGCTGGATTTGATTGTTGACGATTTCGCGTGATCCTGGATCAGTCGGTTCCCCGAAGCTCATCCGGGACTTGCTGTCATAGCAACAGATCCGTAAGCGTAAACCTGCTCGGGAGCAGGTTTACTTTATGTAAACAGGATTAGATCGCGGCCACTCAGGTATGTCCGCTTCATGTATACGAAAGTAACAGCGATATTTTACCACTGTTTTACCAAAAATAAATATTATCAATGTAACTAAAGATAATGCAGTACTTGATCCTTTTATTGATGTCACACAGATACATACAGGTCATTTCCTAAAAAAAGGGAAATGTACTATTAATCATTCTATTTCATGTATTTGATTATTTCAGATGTAATTCATATTCTAGAGTTGTAATTGTAAATTACTTC